CTGGCCTCTCAAGCACCTTAATCACTTGTCACATGAGGGAACACCTGTATCTCCTCCTGATTCACACACAGGACCACAGCTTGTGCTTATATCGCTTCTGATTTCAGCCTGTTTGAACGTTACAGATGAGATGTTTGATTTTATTGATCAGTGATATATAACCTGTTTACAGGTGTAACATTACTTCACCCTAATAGGTTCCTTTCTATAAGTAGCTTTTTCGTTTTGACATAATCAGTTCCTTCACATGTTTTCTTCTTTTTCATATTTTGCATGGAGAAAGGGGGACATGGCAGAGTACAGATAGTGAGCCATGTGATTTTAAAAACATTTTGATTCCTTGGCTCTGTAAAAGAACAACCGGGTGGCTGTGCAGATTTGACTGAAATTGTTGCTGGACATTTAAACACTGATCAGTAAACGATACATAAAGTTGACCCTCCAGTTTTGTATTTATTTAGTTTTCCAGTTACCTTACGTCACATGAAAACACCCTGCAGCAGATAGACCTGGTTCTGTTTCTGGTTTGTGCTATTAAGGTTCCTCTGAAGCTCAACTTCACCTGTTTGTTTTTTTGTTTTTGTTTTGTTTTTTTAGCGAGGTGCAGAAAGCAGTCAACGCTGCTCAGAGCCTCCATCATAGATGGAGCGAACTGATGGTGGAGGGAGGCGGAGCCTCCAAGGAGGAGATAGACTGGACGACCAATGAGCTGAGGAACAGCCTGCGCTCCATCGAGTGGGACCTAGAGGACCTTGACGAGACAATCAATATCCTTCAAATGTGAAGCCAGCAGAAACACGCACAGGTGTATATACAGGCGTACTGGAAAGGTGAATACAGTTTTATGATTAGAGCATCTGATATTGGCTGATTCGTTCAGCTGTGGAAAAAGAAAGAATGAAGAAGAAGAGGAGATGTGTATCACCTTAAAACCCTGGACAGTGAAGACAGTTTTGTTTGTAAATCCTCACATAGACCTGGTGCACAAGGTGAGATGGAGCAATTTGATTGGTTCATAAATGGTTAGAGTCTGTTTGATGACAATTTAATGAAGAAGAGGAGGGTTAACAGACTCCTCCCCTCCCACTGCATCTGAAGCTGCTGATTGACACCCGTTTCCTCGTACATGCTGAGAGCAGATCAATCAATTAGTAATCATTAATTACATATTTACAAACACTGAAATTGGCTCCAATCAATCACTGATTGTGAAGACAGAGTAAGTGATCGTGTTGAATTTATTAGAACAGGTCCCTCTTCTATGGAACCAGCTTCAAGTTTGGATTCAGGAGACAGACACTATTTCTACTTTTAAGATTAGGGTTAGGCTTCAAACTTTTCTTTTTGCTTCTCTGGCTCTGTTCCACAGCATGGTTCTGTCTTCATCCCCTCGTCCCTAACTGATCTCTCAGAAGGCCACCCCTCACTGAGCATGGTTCTGCTGGAGGTTTCCTTCTGTTAAAAGGAAGAAACCTCCACCTTTCTACTGTCGCCAAGTGCGTGCACATAGGTCGTCTGATTGTTGGGTTTTTTTCAGTTTTCTCGGGCCTTTACCTAACCTAACACTATAAAGCAACTGTTGTTGTGATTTTTCGTCATTAACTTCAGCTAATATATTAAAATGTGTTTCTTATTTTGTTAAATATGCTCTCTGAGCTGAACTAGGTTTTACTTTCATCTTTAGCATGCATTAGGGGGCTACATGCCACCCCTGAGTTGAGGTCACGTCACCAACATTGTCATTATGTAACATGTTTTATATGAAAATAAGATAATTCTTCTTAACGGTAAGTTTACGTATTGTCGAGTCGAACCCAAAGAAGTTCAACCTGGATGCTGCCGAGCTGTCTAAGAGGAAGGCCTTCATCAACAGCATGCGGGTTGCCGTCAAGGTAACTTTATTGACAACAGGAGATCAATGGCTCAGACAGAAGGACCCAGTCATATTCTAATAATTTACAAGGTAGATCGTTCAGGTGATTGATTACCTGAGATGTCCAGAATTGATCGATTTGATTTGCTGCTGTGTTTGTTTTGCAGGAAATGAAAGCTCAGATGTCGATTCCACCTGCTGCTTCTGACCGAAAGAACAAACAGGTAACTGTCACACCTGCCTACGGGTGATCCATTACCCGAGACTGCAGAACCTTCAGGGCACCACAAGATCTCAGTTGGATCCTCTTGGGGTCCTCCTGTAATACCCGGTCTTGGTGCACGTGTAACTGTTGTTGTGACCTTCAGGCTCTGCTGGGTGAACGTGGTGCTCAGGGCCCCATATGGCAGCCTGGTGCAGATAAGTACAGCCGACTGGACCACCAGCTACAGAACGCTAACTCTCAGATCATCGAGGAACAGCAGGTCCAGCAGCAGGTACAAGAACACCTGAGAAACCTAAACAAGTTTTCCACCTTTACAATGCCGCTAAAGTGTTTCCTGTCTCTGATAGCTGATTGCGGAGCAGCAGGATGAGCAGCTGGAACTTGTGTCGGGAACCATCGGAGTCCTGAAGAACATGTCGGAGCGAATCGGCATGGAGCTGGATGAGCAGGCCGTGTAAGAACCGAGTGTAGTAAGAGGGGTGGGTGGGAACGTCATGTGACTACAAAATGTCAGAGTGGTAAAGGTGATTCGGTAAACTAAAGTTCCTGTGATCCCCAGGTCGGTGCTTTCTCAAAGGCATTATGTTTGTTTTTGTTGTTGTGTTTTTTATGTGACGATTAAATGTCACTTCCTGTTCTTGCTCCTCACCATAGCGGCTCATTGTCTGCTCTTTTGTATATGAAAAAGCATCAGACAGCTTTTAGTTTCTGATATAGTAATTTCCAAATAAAATTTAATTGAACTGGAACTTTATTTGGCCTGTAATAAGCAAAGAGGTGAGGGGGGAGTGGAGGCACCTGTCAGAGACTTACTGATGTCCTTCCTGCAGGATGTTGGATGACTTTGGCCATGAGATGGACAACACTCAGTCCAAACTGGACAACGTGATGAAGAAGCTCGCCAAGGTGTCCCACATGACCAGCGGTAATCTGCCCAGCAACACATGAAACATGATATGAGTTAACTCAGAGGGGTGGGCAGGGTTTTAGATGTTCAGAGCTGATGAATCAGAAATGATCAATTAGGGCAGGAAATTTTGTAGCTTTAAGCTGATTTGGATTTATTGATTATGATGATGGAATTATTGATCTTGCTGTAGTTCCTCCCTCTGCGGATTGAACTGAGCTGGAGTCAGTTACCTGTATTGATGAGGTGCACTCACCTGTACTCATCTTATTAACTCTGTGTGTTTGCAGATCGTCGTCAGTGGTGTGCCATCGGCGTGCTGCTTACCATCCTCTTCATCATCATTCTCCTTTTCTTTATACTCTGATCAATGCCTCCACCTATCGACATGAAATCTTAATCCCGTTTGCTGGACTCCATTTATACTCTACTGAACATTCTTTGGACTGTGCTGAACTTTATTTAGACTCTAATGGACTCTTCCTGCTGATCGGGAGTGAACAGCACTTTTGGTTCCTTGAGTGTTTAACTGTTAGAACCACCTCAGAGGTCAAAGGTCATGTTTGGTGTGGTTTTGATTGGTTGTTCTTTTTATTTAAAACTGAAAATAACAAGTTTCACTCGAGTTTAATGTGGACTTATTCTGCTCCTTTGCACAGTAGCTTTGCGTGAGTCACAGCTCAAAGTAATCCTTCTTTTATTTGATACTAGGCCTTGGTGCAGCCTCTCAATTTATCCTCCAACACTTCAAGACAGTCTTATTGGCTGCCCCTCATAAACAGAAGGTATGAACAGCAGGTGGGTGGGGCTTCTATCCTCTCTCTGTGGCATCTTCCAGATTCAAGAATAGAAAAAATGTTGAGAGCAGTCTGAGCTCTTGGCTCAGAGAGAAAACTATATCCTCCTGAGAAACAAGGAAAAAGGAATCTTTTTGTGATTTCCTTCTTTTTGGAGCTAAAAGAGGCCACCCAGACACATGAGATCTCAATGGAAAGCCCAGGATGTCCTCTATTTAGTACGTCAGGACTTAGTAGGGTAGAACAAATAATTCAAAACATATAGACCAAAAACAAATGTACATTAGAGAGGAAATGATGAATAGGCTGGTTCTCAGGAGGGTATGCACTGTGACCTAATTATTAGAAACTTTAATACAAACATCCGTCGCAGGAGCAGGAGACACATGACAGGAAGTGAGGAGAGCAGGTCCACTTTAAAGACACTTTTATCCAGTTGTGTTGAGTACTAATTTTAATTTAATGTCAGAGTTTAACTCACATTTAGTTCAGTTCAAACTGGTTTAGTTCAGTTTGAACTTCATGGCAGTACTTTACAGCTAAAGTAGAAACACTAAAATTCCTGTTTTGTTTTTTGACTGAAACCGTTTTATTTTGTTGTCTTTTTTATTTCTGTTTCCTGTATTTATCACATGTGCAGCATATTGAGTGACTTATTGACCTGTGGATGACTTCCTGTGGCTCCTTTAGTGTACTATTCTGAAGGCTGGTGAGCAAGTTAGTTAAAACATGAAAATGGATGACGGCAGCAACAGCCAGTCACATTGTCCTAGATATCGGGTTTATGGTACGGCGTGACGGTGGCAATTCTCCAGGGGCCGCTAAAATGTTTCCTGAATAAATGATCTCAGTGTTCTGATGTCTGACTGAAATGCAAAACAAACTGAAATAAAGATTGTGACAAACCTAAAATTTCACCTGCTTTTACACTAAAGATTAACCAGACTGCTCATGTTTCCGCAAAACTTTATTCCTCACACTAAACAAGAATAAATAATGAGTGTCCGAATGGAGAAAGCTGTTACAGATCAGTGATTGATAAAAGTATTATCTGGTGACCGATGGTATGATATGTCTCGAGCTTTTTTTTTTTTTATTCAATAAAGAAAAGAAAAGAAAACAGACTTTGACCATTTGATTAAGGTACATTTTAATCCAGTCTGACTGATTTCAATTATTGACCAATGAGTTTTTCACTTTGAATAATTTTCTTTTGGCAGGTTCCAGCTTGTTTTTAAACAATATTTTTCTTTTTCTTTAGCAAAACAAACACAGACAAAATAAAAAACCAAGCTACTTCATGAAAAAAAAAAATCAATAATATTATTAATATAATAATAAAATAAAATTGAAAAAACAAAAAAACAGTATCAGCTCAGAGGACAAATACTGCATGGCATTAAACAAATATTCACACCAGCAAGTCAAAGTGATTTAACAGGAAACAAGAAGCTTCTCATCATGAGAAAGTGTAAGACATAGACTGCAGTTTTGCTTTAACTCTGTTACTGCCATAAACAGGTGAGTCAGGTTCAGTGTTGGCAACTGGTTCTTCAGTCAGGCAGTGTGGTTGTCACTCTGAACGTGTCCTCTGGTGTCGAAGGACCCGAATGGTGACAGACTGGTTCTTGATCAGGAGGTTTGTCACCTGGTCCAGACTGAGGCAGGCCACCTTCTCCTCGTTGACTTCCAGGATCTCATCTCCAATAGCCAGCAGGCCAGCATACAGCTTCCCAGTGCTGCTGTTCATGTCTTCTATATACACACCTGTAATGTACATCAAACTGTTAGTAGTTTGTTGCTCTATAAAAAAAAAAGCCCTCATAAAGCTAGAACGTCTTACTATTTATCACTGATTGAAGAAAAAAAGAACAAGGTTTCTCTTCAGCACTGTAGCCAGGCTGACAAGAAGTCAGAGCACTGTTGAGCCAACCATTCCTTTAACATTAACTAGTAATGACTTCATGAACTTCTTCACAAATAAAATGTTAACTATTGCAAAACAAAATTATTCATAACATACACAGCTACTTTCAATACTGTTGATATTTATTTAGAGTTTTTATTTTTATTTTTCTAACTTTATTTCAATAATTACTTCCTCCAAATGATCAGCATGTCTTTAGACCCCATTCCTACAAGACTGCTCAAAGCTGGCAGTAGTTAAACCGTTACTTAGAAAGTCATCACTTGACCCAGCTGTCTTAGTTAAATATAAGTCAATCTCCAACCTTCATTTCACCTAAATTGTTTTTGAAAGAGTAGTTGCCAAACAGCCAAATGATTATCTGCAGAGGAATCTTTTATTTCAAGAGTTTCAGTCAGGTTTCAGAGTTCCTCACAGTACAGAGACAGCTTTAGTGGAGGTTATAAATGATCTTCTTATGGCCTCTGGTGTTGTATGTTATTCATCCTTGACCTTGGACTCACATATACACTCAACAAAAATATAAACGCAACACCTTTGTTACTGCTCCCATTCCCCATGGGATGGACGTAGAGACCTAAAATTCATTCCAGATACACAATATAACCATCCCTCCCAAACAGTGGTCACAAATCAGTCCAAATGTGTGGTAGTGGGCACATCTGCTATATTGAGATAATCCATCCCACCTCACAGGTGTGCCACATCAGGATGCTGATCTGACATCATGAGTAGTGCACAGGTGTACCTCAGACTGCCCACAACAAAAGGCCACCCTGGAATGTGCAGTTTTGTCTCACAGCAAAATGCCACAGATGCCACAAGCAATGAGGGAGCGTGCAATTGGCATGCTGACAGCAGGAATGTCAACCAGATCTGTCGCCCGTGCATTGAATGTTCATTTCTCAACCATAAGCCGTCTCCACAGGCGTTTCAGAGAATATGGCAGCACATCCAACCGGCCTCACAACCGCAGACCTCGTGTAACCACACCAGCCCAGGACCTCCACATCCAGCAGGTTCACCTCCAAGATCGTCTGAGACCAGCCACCCAGACAGCTGCTGGAACAATTGGTTTGCACAACCAAACAATTTCTGCACAAACTGTCAGAAACCGTCTCAGGGACGCTCAACTGCATGCCCGTCGTCCTCATCGGGGTCTTGACCTGACTCCAGCTCGTCGCCGTAACAGACTTGTGTGGGCAAATGCTCACATTCGATGGCGTCTGGCACGTTGGAGAGGTGTGCGCTTCACGGATGAATCATGGTTCACATTGTTCAGGGCAGATGGCAGCTGAGAATGTCCCAGTTCTTGCATGGCCAGCATACTCACCGGACATGTCACCCATTGAGCATGTTCGGGATGTGCTTGACCGGCGTATACGACAGCGTGTACCAGTTCCCACGAATATCCAACAACCTCGCACAGCCATTGAAGTGGAGTGGACCAACATTCCACAGGCCACAATTGACAATCTGATAGACTCCATGCGACGATGTGTTGCACTGCATGAGGCAAATGGTGGTCACACCAGATACTGACCGGTTCTGGGTCCCCAGACCCCCAATAGCGCAAAAAACTGCACATTCCAGGGTGGCCTTTTGTTGTGGGCAGTCTGAGGTACACCTGTGCACTACTCATGATGTCAGATCAGCATCCTGATGTGGCACACCTGTGAGGTGGGATGGATTATCTCAATATAGCAGATGTGCCCACTACCACACATTTGGACTGATTTGTGACCACTGTTTGGGAGGGATGGTTATATTGTGTATCTGGAATGAATTTTAGGTCTCTACGTCCATCCCATGGGGAATGGGAGCAGTAACAAAGGTGTTGCTGTTTATATTTTTGTTGAGTGTAAAATTGATCTCCCATTCCTGTTTCTTCCATTTAAGGAACATTTTTAAATTGCAAGCTATAGTTGCCTCCTCTGAAATGAAGAAAATTGTTCATGCATTTGTATCATCACACTTAGATTATTGAAATGCTCTCTTTATGGGCATGGACAAATTATCTCTGTTATGCCTCCAAGCAATAATGAATGCTGCAGCCAGACTCCTGAAACACTCTGGGATGCCAGCTCACATTACCTGCATTTTATTTTCTTTACATTGGGTCCCAGTTGACTTTAGAATTCATTTTAAAATTCTCACACTTACATGGAAAGAATTATTAACCCCTCTATAAAAATGTAGTTTTTTTCTTTATTTAAACAGTGTAAGGAATGTTTAACACAGGTCTTCCAAACATTGTAGTTTTATTTGTGATGCTTACATACACTCAATCTGTTACATTTTTTGACCTATAGTTTTCGGCATAGTTTTTGTCGATAACTGTTTTTTTCCTGACAATACAACATGGTAATTAATTAAAAACTGATGCACAAGGACAAAAACTATGATGAAATGTATTTATACTTTTGAAAAAAATAAATAAAAATGAGATCCAATCAGAACAAATTAAATTGTGTGGAAAGGCGGGACAAATGTGGCAGTGATCCAATCCTTGTGCAGTTGTTTAATGCAGTGTCATTTTCCTGGACTACATCCAGGAAACTTCAAGCTGCATGGTGCAAGGAACAGCTGTGACTGGCTGATCAGGCAGTGATGTGCTTTGTGATCTATTGGTGGTGCCGCACGCTCATTTCATTGTGGGAACTGTCATTTTCTACATTACTGTCACTGTTCCACAGCAGGACAATAAAGTCCCCAGATAGAATCTCCCTGACCCCAGCATATTAGTGAGTCGATATATTTAGTAATGTGAGTAGTATTTAAGATGATATCAGTAGTATCAGTGGGGCGATCGTGGCTCAAGAGTTGGGAGTTCGCCTTGTAATCGAAAGGTTGCCGGTTCGACAGTCTCGGTCGTTGTGTCCTTGGGCAAGACACTTCACCTACTGCCTACTGGTGTTGGCCAGAAAGTCTGATGGCGTGATATGGCAGCCTCGCTTCTGTCAGTCTGCCCCAGGGCAGCTGTGGCTACAACTGTAGCTTGCCTCCACCAGTGTGTGAATGTGTGTGTGAATGGGTGGATGACTGGGTGTGTAAAGCGCTTTGGGGTCCCTAGGGGGACTAGTAAAAGCGCTATACAAATACAGGCCATTTACCATTTAGTAAGGTGAAAAATACTTATATATTTCAAGTATTAGGAGAAGTGTCGGTAGAGTTAGTACCAGTGTCACGTCGTCCTCTTCCTCTGCTGATGATGAAGCCAAACGTCTGACCCACTGGTCGCTTAAGCTCCAATAAAAATGTCCCATCAGGGCAAATCTGAAGAATCCGCCCAACAGAGCAAACTGAAGAGGGACAACTGATGTCTTTGACGCCAAGACTACCAGGTAAGAACCTGAGAGACAAACAGGTGGGTAGGCTGTGATGGGCTGGTCTGAGTATCAGGGTAGAAAAGAGAAGTGTGTGTCTTACTGTTCAGCAGCTGGTTTATAGTTCGCAGAACGATCTTTCTTCTTCTTCAGCTCCAAAGATGACTTTCATTCGACTCGAACAAGTAGGGTACTTCTTCTGATTGACAACAGCACACTAGTCTGGTGTTACAATACATGTACGTCTGTTCGAAGCCATATAATATATATATATATATATATATATAATATATATATATATATATATATTATATATATATATATATATAATAATATATATATATTAATATAATATATATATATATATATTATATATATATAGATAGATAGATAGATAGATAGATAGATAGATAGATAGATAATTCATGTTCTCACCACACTGAGCGACTCAACAGATAAAGTTTTCTTCACCAGGCTGGAGGAGTTCCTGGAAATTGAGGAGGTGGAGTCAGTGAGGGAGGGGTGGGTTCGCTCATGGGTCCGTGAGCAGAGGCGGTCGAGGCTGCTGGTTCGAGTCCTGCTCAGTGTGACGGTGGAGAAAAAACGTCGCAGAGAAAGACGGGAGGAATCTTCTCTGCTGCTTAAACTGCAACACAGATCAATGAGATCAGTCACATGACACCTCACCTGGAACCACCTGAGATCACAGCTGGATTTAAACAGTGTATTGATCTTTCTGAGTTAACTTCAGTAATTGCTTCCTCTAAATCATCAACGTGTCTTTTAGACCCCATTCCTACAAGACTGTTGAAAGAAGTCCTGCCATTAATTAATGCTTCAATCTTTAATATGATCAATCTATCTCTAATAATCGGCTGTAGTTAACCCTTGTATGGTGTTCGGGTCTGTGAGACCCGTGTTCAGTTTTTTTCAAAAGAAAAATTAAACAATTAATTATTTTTTCACGTGTAAATGTGTTGTGTCTTTCCACTCACTCCACTTGATTATAACTGATTTATTTATAACATTTTATATAAAAGAAAAACGAGAAGCACATTAATTCATAAATGTGATCTAACAAAGGTAAAGGGAAAAAATTAACCATGTTTGCTGTTCATATGTCTTGTAATTGGGATGAAGTAAACATCTGTTGAGTAATTTAACATAAAATTGTTTGATAGTGTTAATTTGGAAAGCCAAAACTCTAGCGGGTCCACCAGACCCATGAACACTGGCTGAGTAACAAAAATACGAACACCACACAAGGGTTAAACCATTACTGGCCTCTGACCCTTGACAGTGGACTCATCTCTGTACTTGTCCTGCTGAACCTCAGTGCAGTGTTCAATACTGTTGTGACCATAATTCCTATTATGATGATTAGAACATGCTGTAGGTATTACAGGTACTGCGCTGCAGTGGGTTTGTATCATATCTGTCTAATAGACTCCAATTTGTTCATGTAAATGGAGAGTCCTCTTTACACACTAAGGTTAATTGTGGAGGTCCACACATTTACATTATACATTATAGACCTCTCTGCATTGAATCATACTTGTTATTAATCTCTGGCTCTCTTCCACAGCATGTCTTTTATCCTGTCTTGCTGCTCTCACTCCAACCAGTCGCGGCAGATGGCCCCTCCCTCTGCTGGGGTTTCTTCCTGTTAAAAGGGAGTTTTTCCTTCCCGCTGTCGCCAAAGTGCCTGCTCATTTGGGGTCATATGATTGTTGGGTTTTTCTCTGTATGTAATCTACATTACAATATCCGCCTTGAGGCAACTGTTGTGATTTGGTGATGAATAAATAAAATTGAGTTGAATTGAATAGCGGGGATGAGCATGTGATCAAAACACAATTAAACCAAATAAGCGATCAGTTAGGCTGCTGCAACTAAACTCATGAAACACATGAATCCAGGTGTGATGCTCATCTCCTTGACCAGCTGTCAATGAAATCACACAAACTCACTGTGGAGGAAGTGAAACGTCAAGTTGGTGGAGCTCTGCTCTCATTGGCTCTGAGGTGGGCGGGGGATGACTCTCAGCTGTAAACAAATTAGAAATCTAGAGGTTAAGGTGTGTTTAGAGGCGCATGTGATATCATGTGCAGCTCTGCAGTGAACTCTGGAGGCCAAACAAACTGCTCACAGATTAAATAAAATGATTTATGGTAGCCTCATGTTTATGTTTAGAGGTACAACAGAAGGTACAAGGAAGTTCAAGATATCCAGGCTTTTGCTGTGTTAGCTGGCTCAACAAAACCTAAAATCCCAGTCAGAGATGATGGGTGTCAGCATACTGGTTATCAACTTTCTCTGTTAAACTGGGCTTCAGGCTCTGAGTGCGCTCACATAAAAATGGGCATTTCATATGTCTTGTGACTCTTCCTCTGCACTAAATAATATCTGTGAGTCCTGCCAGTCCAGTTAGAGCCATTATAAGAAGATGATGATCATAAAAATAGAGATAAAAATCTGTAAGGAACATAAAATTCTAATATAAATAATCTGAGAGACGAACGGTGCAGTAGCTGTTTAATCTGGTGATTTGTGGCACAGAGTGGTAAAATTAAGATCTGAATCGCAGTGAATCCATGTAAAACATTAACATACAAGCTTCCTGTCCCACAGGGTGATTACGAAGATGTGGAAATCAGATCAGCGTGAATTAATGTAAATTGTTGAACAGTTATGCTTGGTGTGTTTTCTGTGTTTGCAGCAGTGTGAAAGAGACTAAGCAGCAGATCATAATCAAGCAGAACAACATTTAGACATTTTCTGCAACAGCACACGAACACAGGAATGTTCGGTCTGAGCTGCCGCAGCTTCATCGACTGCACATAAAGCTGCACATAAAAGAATCAAAGGAAATTCTTCAGCTGATTTTAAACTCAAACTCTGAACATCACCTGATCCTGACTAGGCGATGCCTTCAGCACCAGTTACTGTGGTGATTTAGCAGGTAAATTTCTTAGCTCAACACAAAGTGTGTAGGCAAATGTTTTTCAGGAGATAAGTTCTCACCTGTTGTGTCTGCGCTCCTCTCTGAGGAGGATGAGGAGTTCTTCATCATGTTGTTCAGATCTTCCTCCACCTCACGCCCTCTCCTCTCCCTAGGCTCAGGCCCCAATTGATGCTCTCTGTGCAGTTTGGGCGGGTGGGTAGTACACAGCCCCATTGAGTGAGGGGCATAGGGGTTGGTTGGCAGGCCAGCGTAGGGCATGGCTTGATGAAAAGTCACCTGGGCTCCATTTAGCTCCACTGATTGCCGTCTCACCTGTGTGTAAGCCCCATCCTTTTCCACACTGGTGACAGAGCCGATGTAGGTCTCTCTGATTGGTTCAGTCCGCAGGTTAAGGTGCTGTCTGTTTAGGCTCCCCCTCTTTTCAGTTCCAGGTGAGTGTTGCCAGAGATTGACTCCGCATCTTATTCCTCTCTCACAGGTGTGATTCTGACCTGCTCTGCTCACCACTGTTCGCCCCCTTGGCTGCTTGCCGACCGCGTGCCCTGCCTCCGCCGTGCCATTGATGTACAGGTTCAAGTCTGGTTTGGACATCACCACACCAACTCCGCAGTTCCCCGTCTGTCTCTTCTGCCGCTGTCGCTCCAGGTAACGAGATTCCGCCTCCTTTTCTGTCTCATCCTCAAACCGCAGACGACGAGTCGGAGATGCTGCTGGCCGCTGCCTGGCCGACGCGGTGTTGGGTTTGCTGCTGGATGAGCCTCCTGAGAGAGGAGCCACACCCCCTGACTGCACCTGATCACATTGCCTCAACCCCAGGCTGAAATAGTGAGACATGTAAAAACTGATTCTTAATGGTTTTAGAGAGAAGGTTAAAAATAAAACTGTAATCTACAAAATCAGATTTGTCAGTGAAGCCTTTATTTAGTATTTATCGATTTTTTTTTGTTTCATCATAAAACAATCTTTTTTTGCCTTATTTTTTTAAAAATAATTTATTATTTTTGTGAAGAAAAATATATTTTAAAAATAACTTCTTTAGTGTTTTGATTTCAGTGTTTGTTTAACCCATTTCTAGTTTTCCCCATTATCTGGTAAAACAAGATTCAGGTGTTTGTCACTAAAGGTAACAGTGACCAGTCAGCTGCTCTGCAGTTAATTTAATCACCAAGTCATAATGATGTAATTAAGAGCACAGAACTAAAGAACAGCTTCTTCATAAAACTGTTTGAGCTTCGTTAGTCAACGTGTGTGTGTGTGTGTGTGTGTGTGTGTATATATTACTCACGGCGTGTGTGTTACTTATGGTGTGTGTGTGTGTGATTGTGTGTGTTACTCACGGCATGTATGCATGTGTGTATTACTCACAGTGTGTGTGTGTCAGGGGTCAGCAGGCTGTGGTCTCCTCTCAGAGGAAAACAACGACGCTTCATACAAACTCCGTCCTCACACTGCTGCTGCCGCGGCAACCGGTCAACCACAAAGAGGCTGAACGCATACACACACGAGGAGGGGTGAAGGGCGAGGATGACATCAGGTGCTCTGATTGGTCAGAGGGACAGAGGAAGGAGGATTACCAGGAGCAGCTGGTCAGGATTAATTAAGCTGACGAGCCCACAGACTGTTTACATCAGCACAGTGTGTTTGACCCACTCTGTGGGGACATTTCTGCTTTTTCAGACTTTTGGCCCTCATTATTTTCCAGCAGGACAGTAGAGAAGGTTTTGTGCTTTAACAAAAATTAGTTTCCTTCATGTTGTCCTGAAACATGTACAGGTGTGCTGTTCCACCTGTTCTCATGTAATGATCAAGTAATAATCGTGTACTTGTAGCACTGATAGTACTTTTTTATACTTTTAGTTCCTGAGTGTTCGTTTGTGAAATGTTGTCAGCCGTCAATACACCTGAGCAGGTAGGGTAGACTGCTGACAGCTGATGTAAATTCACAGTTTTCGGGTTATCTCTACCAGCATGACACACAGCAGAGTCATAACTCTGCAAGAGGCAGGGTTTTTGGTTATCATGGTAACTTCAGGTTTAACTCTATGGTTTCAGGGCTACTAGGGATGCCACCACCTGTTACCAAGAATTGTCGTATATAGTTTTAAAACACACACACACACAGTCTACTCCTAGACAGGCCACTTCTCCTGTTCATCTCCCAGGGGTAGATGTTAAAAAGTTGTATTTTACCTAGAGATAAAAGCTACTTTTTATTAAGATGTTTTACAATCATATTGTACATGAACAATATCAATAAAAGGCTATTCTATTCTATTATTTAGGCTAAAAGCATTTCTGAACTTGTTCAGATCATTTATTCTGTGACTATAAAGCTAAAAGTACATGTCTTACAGACACAAAACCCTGGATCACATCTAATTTCCTGCTTGCCATGGACATTTCTCATATCCATGGCAAATTCAGATAAAACTGAGGTTATTGTGGTTGGCCCTAAAAATAGAAATATGGTATCTAACCAGATTCTTACTCTGGATGGCATTACCTTGGCCTCCAGCGTCACTGTGTGGAATTTTGGTGTCGTTTTTGACCAGGATATGCCCTTTAATATGCACATTATACAAATATTTATGACTGCTTTCTTCCATTTGCACAATAGCTCTAAAATTAGAAACATCTTGGCTCAGAGTGATGCTGAAAAACT